TTCCACTGTTGTGCACCCTTACAAACTCAGCATTAAAGTCATGCAGCCAGATGTTACTAGCACAAAAAGCTATGTTTCGTTTCCAGACTCCTAACTGCGACATTTTGTATGCAGAACGTACTTGAAAGGGAGTAGTTATGTGCCTTAACCTTGACAGATGATATATGTTGAGGACATCTCAAAAGATCCCATAGAAGCATTCCAATAGATTGTCTCAAACATTGGAGAACCAACTTCTTGCTATATCTTCGCAATCCAACAGTTATTTCAAAGGTAGATGATCCGTATCCACCTCAGCATTTAACTTCAGCCACAGGACAGGAGAAACAATTTCTCTTACTGAATCAGGTAATTTAACCAACCCAATAAGGTTGGTTAATTGCTTCTCTAGGATGGCTGATGAAGAGACGGAGTCTTCAGAAGATATTTTTAGCTTTGTATTTCACTTTGCATGAAACCTCTACACATACAACTTGCTGTCACTTCTACAGAGAAAGACCGAAGTCACACTTAGTTCAGATTTGCAGTTTTAGAAGAACAGCTGCAAAGGCACTTCCCGCACAAAAAATATATAGCCAACTAGAATGCCAATAATTACAAAACAATCCTTCGTATTTATCCTCAGCATCGTGAACTGTAGTTCATCAACATAGCTGAGGTTAAAAACAGCAGCCTTCCAAGCTATCACTAGAAAGAGAGCAGAGTTTTCCTTCTCTGCAAACTCCCAAGGAAACCAGAGATAGAATGGAAATGGGATTCTGAAGACCACCTGACTGACCAGAAGGCCTTATCAGAAGCTCAGACCTGCTATTCTTTTCTTTAAATAGGATTTCCTGTGCACACATTTCAAGTGTTCCCATCATTTAGGAATCTATTCAACTTTATAAATCAGCATCCAACAACCCACTTTATTTAGAAATTAACCCATGTCAGAAAACAACAAAACACAACAAAGTGGGTACTTCAGAACTAGTAACTATGCTTCATCAGCAGCTTTCCCTCTACAATTTCAAGAGTATTTTAAATTAAGGAAAAGATGCAAATAGAGATTCCAAAGACAGATATTGGAACAAGATAGCTGAAAAAGTAACTGCAGTTAAGAAAGGCAAGAGAAAATAGTATTTCTTGATAGCCTGACACCATACCTAACTTGAACACCTATCAAAACCTGAATCTCTAGCAGGCATATGGACAAAGTGATATCTTGCAACAAGCAAGTGAAATCAATTTGAGCTGTTTATCACTAATAAAAAAAATTATATATGCTATAAATATCTAGTATTAAGTACATTAATCACTAAGACTTTCAAAATGTCCCAGATAATCTTGTCAGTATCTAATTAAGTCACATGAAGCACTCAACCTAAAAAAAAAAAAAACCCCATGATATCATCTTACAATCAAACGTGCCTGCAGTACTTAACAGCTGTCATTATCAACTGGTGACAACCTTCTCCTTGCTCCATGCAAAAAAAACAAAAAAAAACCTGCAGGATTATATTGCTTGCAACATAACTTTCACCAACAGAAGCCAAGCTGTTGCTAAAGTAGTCTATCAGAGCTCACACATAACCTGGAAACACTTAAGTACTGCCTAGAACGTCATCATCAGTGGCTACACTAACCTAATTCAAAGCCAGAAATACAACCACTATTGATTCAGAGCACTAGAAATATATGTTGATTAAATGAAACATGAGAAGTCAGGGAGAAAGCATTACTAAAATCCGCAGTCTCAGTGACAACTCACTGTAAGTTGATTGACCTGGAACCACTCTCCAACTTCTACCATTTATTCAAGACAGCTCCGTGCTGGAGGCCAAACCTGACATGGATCAACTGAATGCAAGAACCTAATTACTAACAAAAGACAGAAGAGTAAGTTTGTTCCAAAGGAGGTCACATCTGGGAAAACACTTAAGCTGAAAGTCTTGCATCTGGGTCAGGAACACCTGAGAAGCTATCCTCTCACTACTGCACTGCTTCAGGCCAGAAAAGAAAATATCCACAAGAAGAAACGGGAGGGTTTGAGGTACAAAGAGATGCTTATCTATTACTTGTATTCCTCATATCCACTGGTCAGTTATGCTGAAGTCTTCCCATCTAAGTAAACTTCTTCCACTTGAGCAGAATTCAAAGGGGCATTTCTGGTTACAGAAATAAAACTCAAGTTCAGTCAAAAGTTAACTCCAATTACGCAACACTGCTCAAAGACATTCTCTGCCGCTCAGGTCTTAAACTCCTTCTGTTATGCTGTACAAACATTCAAGAAATACCAAATAACTTGGCTGGGCTGAGATGTATGTTGTTTTCATCCCAGTGAATGTTTTAGAAGCATCTTAAAACAGCAGCATCTACTTTACAAGGAAAAAATCCCAGTCGTTGTGAAGGCAGCCAGGTGGCTTTGGGAAGTCACCATAAGGGCAATGTTACGCATTTCCACGTGCTTACATACTGAAGCTTTTCTTACTGGGTCCACAAGAACTTTCACATAGCTCAACTATACAAGCTTTCGAGAAGCACTTAGGAAAGTATTAGAAGTTGCTGAAAAAGACATACACACTTTGCAACTGAAGTGATTCAGGTACACGGTGCATAGTCTGCCACCAAGCATGGCAGCACAATTGGCTCCAAGTCCTCAAGTTCAGGGACAAAATAAACTTGCTTCAAAACATACTGTTAGATGTATTACCTTTCTGAAGCAGAGACAAGAAACAACAATAAACAAACAAAAAAACCCACATGCTCTGAAGTAGTATTTCACTGAGATGGCATGGTTTTCCCCAGACAGCAAAAACAGCCTGAAAGACAAGAGTCTCCACTACCAAAAATCCTCTTCAGCTTTTCGCTCATTGATTTTGTCATTGGTGGTGGCTGTTCAGTTTTTATTATTATTACTGGGAAGAGGGAGAAGTTGCTTACTTGCTGTATGGGTTTTGGCTTTTCCATTGTTGCCCTTAGGGAAGAGTCCAGCTTATACACCGATTCCCATAACCTCAGAAGGCTCTTTCCTCACGGTGGATGAAAAGCCCTGACTTTGGCTTATTCATACACATTACCCTCCAACTCCTAGCAAGCAGCTATGCAGCATACAAGTAGATCAACAGCAAAAGCAGATCAGAAACTATAGTTTATGGAATACGGAATAACTTGGGATACTTTGGGACAGCAACACTACCACTGGTCTTCTGAGCAGACTTTGTCTTCTTACAAACATGGCCAGAATCCATGGCAAATCCAAGCCACTGAGTGATCTCCACTATCTAACAGTGTTGCATAGTAGGAGTTAACTCGTGATTGAACTTGGGTTTCCTAATACAGAAGAACTTTTGTTTTCCACAACTGGATACGAGAGCTTCTCAAGTCCAGGAACACGACTCAGTATCGTCCATCAAGCACCAGACTTCATGTGTGACTGCAACAGGCCAAACAAGACCAAAGCCACTGGACATGGACCCAGGGTGACATTAGGCTGCTCCTGTCCTTCTTTTATGCAGAACCCATGCTTTTCTGATAGTGAGAAGAAACTGATATTCTTGGCACACGTAGTGGTGATTGTCTGAGTAGTTGCTCCTGGAGCTGTATCTTATATTACCAACACAAATGCTGTTGGATCTACTTCAAATTGAACACAGTTAGAAATCTTCAGACAGCTGCAGACCACTGATGTCCCTCCTTCTAAGCTCGTCTTCACACACTGAAAACCGGGAGCAAAAAGATACTTGATTTCTTCTTCTATTGATGGTAACATCAACTCTTCCACAGAATGGTTGGAAACAAGATGATCAAGAGACGCCAAATGTTGCTTGTGATGTTCCTCCAGGGCAGCTCAGCCAGAGCAAGCTCTGCTTCAACTCTTCCATCTGTGGCACGGCAACGCCTGATTCCCACAGGCAGGGCTGCGGCGGGTGCATAGCACCATCCCTGTTGGCACTTACCATGTTCTAGATGTGCGTGCTGAATGAACCACTCATAAAGCAGGTGAAACTCTAGCTTTCTTCGGGTGGATTCCACGGTTTAAAATAAAAAATAGGTATATATATCTATATATATCTATATATATCTATATATATATCTCTATATATCTATATATAATATATATTATATATCTATAT